GTGTATATATATATATATATGTATGTATGTGTGTGTGTGTGTATGTAAATATGTATATATGTACGTATATATATAAAATATATGGTAGAGGAACGGTGAGACTCAGATATGATTTTAGTATGTTGCATTCCAGATCGTTTCCTTGACTCTTCTTTTCGGGATATTTATACATGTTTCGACATGGACGAGTACACATATAGGCGTATTAACAAGGTGTACCTGCATCGATACGCACGTATCGACAAAATATTGAATGCAAATATGTGCACGTACACACGCCACACGTGCGCAAAGCTTACAATATACATTTGTATATTTAGAATATTTTTGCATACTGATTTCTGTGTATTTTGTATGTGACTACTAAGCACATACACTGATTGCACGTACAGTTTTGAATAGCCGGGTATGTTGCATTGCATAATTCATGTATAGTTCGGTACAACCATGTATAAGAAACGTACACAATGCTCCTATCGAACCAAAACGAAAACATGCGCACGCAACGGATTCGAACAAATTGCAGAATAGTTCTAGAGTTCCTTGTACTCATATCTGGTTTTTGTTTTTGTTTTCTCGTGGGAATCATATACAGGTTATGGATGGTGTGCGGAAAAGTAGCGAAACTGGAGCATGGGTACCCATATATGGAGAGTAGTGTGCACATAATATAATATAATTAGAATTCTCTTACCACCCCAATCAACACATCAACCACTCTCAGAGTCCCATAGGAATACACCTGAAATCACTCGTGCGAATGCCGGTTATTGAGGCACGCCGTAGAGCGACCTTCATGAACAGCTGTATTTTACGCGATACACATATAACACTACGGGGAATCCGGAAGGTATATTAGCAATTGGCAGTGAAGCATCCAGTAGTGAGATATAAAGGACAAGTTAGATTTTAAGTACATACCGGGTCTACCTCTGCGTTTAATACGCACCATGTTCCAGGTATTATACGACAAACAGGCGCTCGATTTCTTACCCGAGAGACCGTTAGAGCGATATGGTTGACGCCTATCGATCGTGAACAAAGGATGCGGCGTTTAAATACTCGTCACCCCATTAAAAAGTAATTCAAATGCATACAAACGGCTTTGCAACTGCCGATCCGATAGTGCCGCAGATATTTTAAACAACCAATTGATTGTTTTCTAAAGACGCACAACGTTGCTTTCGTGTCGCCAACAGACATGTGAGATCCGATAATACAACCGGAATTCTCATCAGAAAAGTTCGATTTTTTTGTACATATTGCTCGAGGCAGGTACACGTTGCGACTTCACGTTGTGACTGGCCTCGTTAACTGTATTTTTATATAGTTGCTGAGCATGAGTGCCACTGTAAAGGTCCTTAATTCTGTACACTTTCGTGTAGTTCTGTGTTCGCTTTCGCGAGACATTGTAACACCAGCTCCGAGGTTTCCGAGCAATTGGAGGGAACTTGTACTCGCATCAATTACTTATCCACGCTGTAACAATTTTCTTTTTGATAACTTCACAACCGATGCTATCCGCACACAGTTGTGGTCCTGTAACCTATTTTTGAATCGGAACTAATGCTGTACGCGTATATCACGTAAATACATATCTGTTACAGTATGCATAAATATAGTAATGAAATATAGTGATTTGATTCGTCCATTTAACTATCGTTACAAAATATATAATCAACGAATCAACAACCGTGTGCAAATGTATTTATTTAGTTTGTATTTTGTATAGAGGCATACTATATTATATATAGCTCGTGAAAAACACCTCTTTTCACACATCGTTAGGTCCAGTGTATCGTTCGCTATTTGTCGTGATATGCTGAAATTGTCTGTGACGTGGGCAACTCGAAGTTTGGCTCATACTTGCGTCGTACCAAAAAGGGTAGTGCAATCGAACAACTGCGGCCTTTTACGTGCAGAACGAGCGACGCTATTTCGCGGCACACCTGCCAATCGCAAAATGGCTACTAAAAGGTGTGTTGGCATATATAAATACTCTTCATGTATGTACCTTCATGTGTATAAATGCATTTAATTGAAACTTTCGTCTGCATTTTACACTGTGCGGTGCTTGATGTTGTGACACTGCAGTTTAGCGATGCCGTAGAGTCCAGTCATCACGACTGCTGGTGTCAATTGATCACCCGAAACGGTGGCAAGGTATGATAAGCAGTTGTGACGTACACTTCTGTTCCTGATCCTCGACATATATGATTGCTTATGCGCATACCGACAAGCATTCTTCGATTACTTTCAAATGGATTCGCTGTGCGAGCATAGTCACGTCAGTGCTAAATCCATCATTTTAGCTAATAGTACTGATACGCGTTAACCACCAGCAAAGACAATGTGCGTAGTGTTGGATGTGTTCGGCCATAGTATAGTACCAGACGATGGATGAACAAGCGGTATTCAAAAGCTGGCATCTACGAATGGTCAGCAACGCTGTTAGTGATCGCTGTCCTTTATTTTGAAGGTACCAGGCTCAATCTTAAATGTTAGACGCAATACGTCTCACCTCTACCATTTATATCATGGTGCCCATAATTCTTACTAAAGATCTGGTACACAAAAACAGAATTTATGTCGTGTTTTTCTAAACATTGCCATCCTCTATTTGAGTAGATTTTGTCCGTGTTGAGCTTTTACAGTACTACCATTTAAACACTATCATTTATATACAGAATGAGTATTTCGCGTCAAAACCAATCTTTGGTCCTGGCAAATTGACTTATCATTCAAATAAATCCTTAAGTGCGTGTCGCGCTCGTGTATATAAAGACTAGTGAGTGGTGAATGTGTAACTAACATGATTCTGTGATACTGTTTGGGGCATTGAACTCTGTTTAAGCGGTTTTTATTTACTATGGTTCTTGTCTTTATCTCATCTGAAGAGCGAGTTGCTTAGAGATAAGAATATGTCATTCACTTAAGTAGGATTGTATCAGAATTATTCCGGGCAGGACAACGCTATATCTATAAAGAATTTTACGTGACGCACTGAGTTTAGTTGTATATATATATATATATATATATTATTCTGTTTATTTCGAAAGCCTCACAGCACCCATAACCCTCACAGCAAACCTGTCGATGAGCAAGCAAACGAAGTACTCGCTTTTTGGTTTGGCGACTATTCTGGGCCGAAATTTGAATTGTGGTTCAAGTAAGTGGACTGTGTGTCATATGATATTAAAATCCCGCAATACAGTGTCTGTATCGCCGATTCATTTTGCGCCTGGATTGACAACTCGCTAGTTTTTAAGCGACCTGAAACACTATAATCGCTGTTGCTGAGGCAACATGAAGTGACATGTATCAGAACCGTACAATCAGTCACCTCAACAATCCTATTCTGACTTGTGAGTTTAAGCAACATTATCGGACGCCATCTCAGATAGCGCCCCGATTGGCTTAAGTGATTTTTTTTGTTCTTTAGGTCATCGAAGGAGACTGACGAACTCATTCGGAGAAGGTTCGGCGGCCTAGTCGATGAAGCGTTAGACGGCGGCTTGAAAAATTGGGAGGAAGACATCAAACTACTGCTGGCGAAAATGATTATTTGTGATCAAGTAGGTACCATTTTGCTGCTTCTTATAGACAGTAAATGTTCAATCTTACCCGCGTACCCACCTATTTTGATTTGCACGGTGCACAGCGTGTCGTAGATTCTCTGAATGACAGGGACTAACTGAATCACTTTTGCAGTTCACAAGGAACATCTATAGGAGGACAAGTAAAGCCTTCGATAATGACCCTGCTGGACTGCGGTATGTCAATTCAGAATATATTCTGTATGCGTCATGTTTGTACTTCATAATGGTTTCCAAAGAAATATTCATCAATGTGCAGAAGTAATATTGTATAAAAATTAATACTTATGATAGTAGTCCTTTCAAATTATTATTTATCATCCGAAGTAGCTCAGATGGGAGAGCATTCGACTGAAGATCGAAAGGCACCAAGATCGATACTTGGCTTCGGCAATTTTTTTTTCCTTGAGAAAAGTTGGTTTCCCCAAACATTGAAGTGTCCTCTTATTATTCGTTCTAATTGAACTCGCTGTGACTGATTCTATATTTGATCTTTTCAATAAATACATAGGTGTGCTAAAACAATTACAGCTCAATTTCTGGCTGAACTACATCCGTATGAAGTGGGTATGCTCGGACTACCGTATGAGCACAGCGAAATTGTGAAAGACCACGATGCGGGGTATGTTCCTTTCCTATATATCGACTCTTTGTAGAAGGGTTTTTAGTGGTCTGAATAAACTTTTTTGTGTGGGGGCTTATAATAATGTTGACAGCATTCTACACACAAAAATACCTTTGCACAGGAAACAGATGCTGGCGTCTGAGATTGAGAGACGAAGTGATAGCATGAGCTCCACTGAAAACGATCTTCTCACGCAATTTCTTAAATATATGGACGACCATAAGGTAGTATGCGAATTCATTTATTAGTACTTCTCAATTTGGAATGTATGTTTGGAAATGAATGGTTTCGGGATTACATGCATATTCAGTGTGGACTTAGAATCGTAAGCCATTTGGTGTTTTATTTTGCATGTTCATGTTCAAGTTGTCTCCTAGGTCGTTTATATATCAGTGATCATCTTACTCGCAATTTAGGCAATAATCGAAAAATTTGGGAGGTATCCGCATAGAAACGAAGTGCTCGGAAGGACTAATACACGCGACGAGGCAGAATACTTGAAAACGGCAGATACGTATGGACAATAAAAGTCAGATTAGCATGCAGGTTGAAAAGGAATTCAATATCGCATTATCGTGTGGATTATATACTGGTGCTGTTCATTCGAATCGGAAAAAATACGATTCCCACGGAATGCAAGAACGGCATTATACTCATCGCTTATATGCAAATCATCCGTTAGACTCGGATGCAGCTATGCGTGGCAAACGGCACATTTCGATCACAGGCATGAGGAAGGTGGTTTATGAAATATCGTTTCTTTTTCTGCTAGAATGGCTAACGTAGTCTTAGACCAATCATAAACAGGGATCCGAGAAGAGAAAGTCAGCTGTACAGGCGTATACGACCGTGCGTTTGTGTAGATCAGACCTCGCTGGCTCGCACACACTCACACACATACACACACACCTTGTAATAGATAAATGCTTTTAAACTGAAATATCAATGGACTATAGACGTAGAGTACGGCGCTGGCGCGTGCGAATTGCGAGACTAAACAGTGAATACTAGTAGTAGAAGTAGCGTGAGACTAGTAGCGAAAGTAATTTTTGTTAAACACAAGTGTACATAACAACTACACATACTCATATATATATATATAAAACTGAAATAAAATTATGTACATTATAGAACTAAAAAAATGGGATTGAAGGTTTATGACCTTTTTTATTATTGTTTTTTAACAAAAAAGGTAAACAATTTTAAAAACATACAACGAAGGAAGTCTATAGGACATTTTTGATTTGTCAACAAATTCATAAAATTTATCGAATTGTTTTTTTTATGATTGTTTCTTCTTGACCAAAACCAAAAACACTCATAAAATTTTAAAATAAATACACGTATGTATGACTGTGTGTAGAATAGATCATTACTTCAATAGTGATGTGAGACTATGTTTTTATTTCAAAACAACAAATTATATCACTATACATTCATTACAAATCTGTTTACAATCTGCTCTAGAGTAAATAGTGCTCAGTCTCAAGTCTCAACTTTGAACTTTCAGACTTCAGCCATACTGACAGACTCTCAGCTCAGAGTCTCAGAGTCTCAACAACTCTCAAGTCTTGAAAAGAATTTGTATATAAAAAAATGGTAAATAAAACGAATTCGGAATTGAACGATGCTTTCAAGATCACAATATTTTTAATTTTTAATGTTGAACAATGAGCAAAATCAAATCCCGGAGTCAGTACTACACTAACGATATCAAAGCATACTTTCTATTACGGGACTTTGTGTTTTAAACTAAATATGATCACAAATATCTGACTCTATCCTGTATCCGCTGGCTCTATTACTTTAACACCAGTACCTTGGGGGGGTTTTTAAAATAAGAGTTATATTTGTTTTGTTTATTGATATTGAAAAACAAAACAACCCAAAGTTGAAGGTAAATTATAAAAGCATTCAGCAAGCTGTCGCATCACGCTTGTCAGTGATGTGGGCACTGGGCGCTGGGCAGCGTGCCGCACGGCCTTCTCTCAAGTCTCAAGTCCTAAGCTCATAACGTTATGGGGGTACGGGATAGAAGTTGAACGTAAACGCATATTTTATTTTATTTCAAACGTTATACCTACCTAAATTCTTGTAGGACTGGTTCGTATCGTGAACATAATACACACTTATATGTTTAGTCCCACAAGTTGCACCTATGAGCATACAAAGGACCACATATGAGACAAAAGTTGAATGCAAACGTACATTTATTCGATTATAAAAGCATTAACGGAAAATGATTTGAGGTTAGGTCTCAACTCTCAAATTGACTCAATAAATACAGTCTCAGACAGGCAACTTTGTCTCAGACTCTCAGTCTCAACTCTCAACTCTCAAGTCTCAGCTCTCTCTGAGCATTGTATTCTGTCTTTTTGTTTTTGTTTTTAAATCAAAATCAAAATAGAAGAAAACCTGAAATTCCAGAATCCCACGGCCCATGGTTCATCATTCATGACTTCATAGAGTTCAGCACTCCTGCACCTATGATTTTTTCTATACAAAAGGACTATTTATCAACCGCTTTTTGTAGTATTTATAATTTTATAGTCAATACTAAATAATGAATTCCCTAGCCCCTAAATACTCGCTCTATTAGAGAGGGAAGATTTTTTTCATTTGCATATTTTTCAACAAAATAGAAAGGAACTGAATTTAAAAAAAAATGTGATTTTAAAAAAATGGGACAATGTACCAGTCCCAAAACTCAGAACTCCTCAGAGCTCAGAAGTCAGAACTCTGAGAACTGAGAACTCAGAAGCTCTCTCTCGCTCCTACTCTACAATTGCTACATACATACATACTACTATTTAGTAGTATAGAGAGACTACTCAAGTGTCTATCCTACCTACACGCCCAATCGGTCGAATTTCGCCCGAACGGGCGTGTAACGGCAACTCAGATGGGCCGTATTTCGTTCTACGTACACGGTCATTTGAATAGCCAATCGATTTAAAGAAATAATTTATTAGCGCGCCAAACTCACCGCTTGTCAATACCTCTAATATATCAAGAGATATACACAAAGTGTCACGATAGACATAGGTATACGTAGGTGCATATTTGAGTACTGTATAGTAGGTTAGTGAGCTTTGTTCTTGGTCTAAACATACCTAAAGTATCTAAAAACTACTCTACAGCCACCAAGCGAGTGGTGGGATCCACCGTGTATATACGGTGGCACCATATGGATAGCAGATATGCCATGAATCTATTTGGATCGCGATGGAAGGTCATCTGGAGCGAAGCATCTGTTGTGGGTGCAAAGAACTATGCGTCGGCAACAGGCAGGGTGAAGGTGTGGAAGGTCACGTTGAGTGTTTATGGGTTCACAGATAGTGATGGATATGTATATAGTAAAGAGAAAGAACAGCCATCACAGCTCATAGCGTTGGCTCCGCCTCCTGAATTAGATGGTGATGATGCACTTATATGAACACCAATGCTGGTTTGCGGTCCTATTCGTGCAGCTTTAGCTAGACACCAATTTTTAGTGCAGAACAATGAACCACGCACACGATAAAGCTCAGACCAATTACGTGCGGGTACACTTAGCTATCAGATGCATACAACGAAGATGTGCACAGCAACACACTCTCTTTTACACACAGTACTCTTGCACAACCAACTATCACTCATCATAAACCCGTACCTTTAGCAGTTTTAAATGACACACGTACACACACAGAACGTGTAGAAACAATCCACCCTCGCACAGCACGTGTAGACAACACCCACATGCACACAGCACGTGCAAGCGATACACAGGCGCATACATCACGTGCAAAAAGATTCGATCTAATAAAGGCGATACCAATGCCTTAGAATAAATAAACGCGTAGATAAATTCTAAATATCGTGTAAATATCGATATCAATAAACGAAATGAGACGCTTAATAGTTAGGTTTGACTCGTGAAAACAGCAATACTCTAAGGGATTGTGAGGCTGAGACATTGCCTATATATAATCCTCTCAGTACTGTTTCCGCCGAAGGGATATTATTTAGTGTTTCGTTGTCTCTCTATTCTGGGGCGAATCCGAGAGACTCATAAAATCCTATCTTTAGAAAAAGAAAATAAAATACTCTTGACGTCCTTAGTTATTGTCTTAGCCAATAACTTGCCACTATCAAGAATTACCGACTTAGCCTTCATCAGACTGGCACATCTGGTTGGCTTATCGGAGGATCAACTAGGTAACGTTAATAGTCAACTCAGCTATTGTACCGTCTATAAAGCGTGTACGATAGTATGTATAGCCTCCCTTATCCGTTCTCCATATAAAGTCTTTAAATTCAGAACGATCAAGAGGGGCATTAGAATCATGTCTTCTTGCGAGTATAATCTTTGTAGTCGGAATACGATTTGTGCCTATATTAAGCGCACTGGAACCATCGGGGTTATTTACCTCGTACGTTCCACTTTTAGTGTCTGCTACAGATATTATGTATGGACCAATCCATTTAGATGTTAATACAATAGCATCGGAATTACGTTGACGGATGTTAACTCTGTCACCAACCTGATACTCTGCTATCTTCTTGGTAGTGTTCCAACGCTTTTGCCTTTTTACTATGGCTATATTGCGTATTTCTCGCAAGCAAGGATATACAACGTTATAAATACGTTGGGCCTTCTCTAACCATGGTAACTCATGATGATCGGGTTCGTCCTTGTTAAAAGGGATTTGTAACTCACACCCTAAAACCACTTCTTCCCATCAATCTTTCCTGAACCACTACAGCGACTATGGGAGCCATAGGGTTATTTTTGAAATAAATAATATTATCCCTATAAGGTAGTCCGGCCAACATCTGCATCATCCGTTAATGCAGTACGCAAGAATAACTTAAGTCTTCTATGGCGCGTTTCATTCGCGCCATGCGTTTGCAGCTTATATGGCACACATCTCTTATGGCATATGCCTGATACGAGTACTAGCGATTCCATAACGTCATCGCAGAACTCACTACCGTTATCAGTGCACATAATACCCGGCCACCCGTGGTCAGCAAAGACTTGGCAACATAATTCTGCCACGGTCTGCGTATTCTTATCCTTTAATGGATAGAGCAAGTTAAACCGTGACGCCGCATCAAAGAAGTGGCATACGTAACGGTCGCCTGTGTGCTCGGACTTGGGCAGGTCAACCAGATCTATGATGACCCTGCGCCATGGAACATATTCAGTCACGCTCTTAAGCAGTGCGAAATCATAGCGCTTGATCTGATTGAGATCACAGTCTGTGCATGACTGATATACTCTGTCAATTAAAGTTGCCAGCTTAGGGTGCACGATCCCATGTCGCTTAGCATCTTTGAGTGCTTCTACTACGTTCTGGTGCCTCAGCTTATGATGTTGCTTCAGCCAAGCAAGAATGTTTTTATCATTCTGCTCTTCCAGAATAAAGGTAGGGTGTTGAGAATCCACTTGCGTGGTCTCTAAGTCTGTAGTGTTTTAGGGTTTTTAGGGTTTTATGAACGTCATAATCGCGCTCATGTGCGTTAGATACACCTGACTTATTAAATAGTCGCATTATATGTGTATACGCTTCAGGATTATCTTTCATTAATCCCTTTGAAAATAGGGTTTGAAAGACCTCGGGCTTGGACTTTATGTTATTAAACAAAGTCCCAGCTAGGGACTGACGCTTCTTAACAGTAGTGTCATTAGTAGATTGTATTTTTTTGTGCACAGACTTCAAGTGCTGCGTTGCCTTTGAACTGCTTAACGTTCGATTTGGTAGAGTGGAATCTCTGATTCTTTGACCTTGTTAAGGAAGGTCTCAGAAGGGGTCCATTTGGTTGTTTCAATGGGACCTATACGACATATAATAGTATGTCTCCAAGGCGTCTTCTGGACGGCTCGGGTACCCTGATATAGGAAAGTATCTACTTTTCTATCTAAATATATTGGCTCGCATTGAATTATGCTGAACAATTTATTGAGCCATGGATATTTACTCCGTAATGGGCAACACAACGTGATGGTAGCTTTATGTATATGAACAGAATTTAATAGCTGGGCAATTAACTGCCATGGTGGATTGGCCCACGCATTATGTTGGGAGAGGTCTATTTGAAAGGCGTCTCCCAAAGGATGATTTAAAGTCCTGTAATTCGATAGTTGTGCATTATGATGTGCAGCAAACATATCTATGGTATGTGGCCCATATATCTTTTGAGCCAGTTCAAACCACCTGGGGTTACCTTTCCAGTCAGTGGCTAGTAACTCACGTACGGATTTATTAAAGTCCGGTACGAAGCGTGATAACATATCCGGTAAATGGTTACGTATTCCTGGCAGATGTTCTATATCAAAATGAAACTTTGATATCATGCCAGCGACTCAGTAATTGTGAGTCGGGTTTCATTTCTTTCATATATTAAAGAGATTTCTGAGCACACATCAGTGTAAATGCTGTTCCGTATAAGTAATCTCGGAAGTGTGTTAGAGCTTTCAACGGTATCTGGACCCTCCACGAACACCTTGGATCTTTTCTCCAGCATGTTGAAGAACCACCGTACCCTCACCCGTCCCTGACACATCAACAGATGTTCCCCATACCCCGGCTAATCACGCTGTTGAAGTACTACTTCCAAATATCGGTTCAAACCAAATCATCGCGCTTGTTGGTTCCGACTATGATACTTCCGATCCAGGCCAGCCAACACATACCGAATTCATCCGTGGTCTGGTGCGGCATTGGCTTACCCCCATCCTCGCTTCTCGGCCGGATTATGACGGATATCCTGGTCCTTCTCGGTATTTCGTACTCTGCACTAACCCATTCCGTGGCACTACACGGCGCAGACCCGATCCGTACCACAGAGGTGGGTACTCTACTTAGTAGGTCATCAAGCGAATATATGGAACATTCGGTAGTAACAATGATTTGTCAACACCGGCCCGGATTGACTCAGCACATATCTTCCATTGTCGACTCACTTGGCCCAAGCTTCAAACGGGAATTTACTGATCACTTCTTCCCATCAATCTTTCCTGAACCACTACAGCGACTATGAGAGCCATACCATATGTTCATACATTGTATCATACATACTTGCCATTTTTGAAATAAATAATATTATCGACTAAATAATTGTATATATCTAGGTTTGTTATCTATAACCTGATACAATACTCCTCCTAAGGCTAAGTCGGAGGCGTCCGTTGCTATTTCTAACGGCACGCCATCGACTGGTCCTTGTACAACAGGGGCTTGTTGGACTGCGTGATTGAGCGCTTTAAATGCGTCATCACACTCTTTAGTCCACAAGTCTCCTAGTTTGCCTTTATGGCATCTTAAGTGTCCAAAAGGTTTAAGGTAGTCGGCTAAGTGTGGTACTCCATCTGAAAAGAAGTTTACAAACCCACACATGCTGTTAACATCTCTTCCTGTAGTTGGTGTTCGCCAATCCAACAGGTGTGCTACCTTACCGGGGTCGATTTTAATACCTTCCCCAGATATATGGTAGCCTAAGAGCTGTATTTCGCTTATTGCGAAGTGGCATTTCTTCTCGTTAATCTTGAAGTTTTGCTCATTGAGTCTCTTAAGGACTCGTCTGACTATTGCGGCGTGTTCGCCTGTAGTCTTCGAAAAGATGACTATGTCATCTATATAGACTTGCACGTTTGGCATGTCTGCAAACATTTCTTTCATTACTTGTTGGAAGAATGCTGGTAGAGAGTGTAACCCGAAAGGTGCACCTCTGAACCGGTATTGTTTGCCTTTCCACGTAAAGTTAAAGTATTTACGGTGGGGTTCATATACCTGCATTTGATGGTGTCCTTGTGTAAGGTCTATAGTTGTAAACACTGTAGCACCTTCCATCCTTCGCAGTAGCTCGTTAATACGAAGTAAGTGAAAGCTATGAGTCGGCAATAATTTATTTATTGGACTCATATCTAAACATACTTTGACTTTCTTAAACGATCCGTCAGAGTTATGTTGGCCTACGGCTAGCAGTGCCAAGTTAACTGGCGTTTGTTGATAGTTAATTTCTGTCACACCATCTGCTAGCCATTTCTCAACTTGTTCTTTTAC